TTTCTTACGCTGAAGTGCCTAGGAGGCACAGCGCGTTAGCAAAGTTTTTGCAGAACCGCAAACCACCCGAACCAGTTTTCCTCTTGTGGAGCGTCACCCTACCTCTTTACACCTTAACTTCAAGTACTGCACATGTCGGCATATTGAAATTCTGAAATTCAGACATTTTGTATAAGAGTGACTATCGCACAATGTATAAGGATAAGTTTGAAATTATGAAATTATTAAATTCTGACTTCTATAAGAGTGGCTATCGCAAACGGTATAAGAATAAGTTTGAAATTATGAAATTCTGACATTTTCTATAAGAGTGATTATCGCACACAGTATAAGGATAACATTGAAATTCTGAAATTCTGAGATTGTGTATCAATGTAACTATCGCACAGGGTATAAGGATAACTCTGAAATTCTAAAATTCTGAGGTTCTGAAGTTTCTCGTTCACTTCGTGGTTATACTGTATAATGATAATTTGACAGCCCTTTGAAAATTTTAGAAATTGTTTTACACAAAATTCTGACGTTTCACGCGCACCCGCGTGTAAAATATCTTGAAGGTTGAACGACAAGCATAAATACAAAATTTCTTCTCTATTTTTCAAATTCAAGCTGGCTTAATGACAGTGTTTCAGATGTGTAATTCGAAGTATCTCGGCTCGATTCTGAACGTTAGTCATCGTGGTCTCCGCACATATGCGAATGGGAACAGGTATGACAGCGAGTGGAAAGATCGCAAACTTCACACATATGCGAATGGCGACATGTATGATGTAAGGTACAACAATGGTGAAGGAATTTCGGAGAAATGTCTGATAGCCTGATGACTTTTTTTCGTTTTATATCATTGTATTTTATGGTCGCTATACAAAGTGAAGACTATCCACGGGTTTTCCCTAACTTCCTGCAGCAAGCCGAGTTGTTTTGACGATAATCGCATTATATTGGGAATATGTTAAAAGTGCTATGCTCTTTATAATTGGCACTACGTTGATGGCGAATGCGGTACTGCTTCTAATAATTAATGATCCACGAGCGTTCGATTGGACGTAAAATTTTGTTTTCTTACAGCAACACATCCAACAAGCGCGAAATCGGTTTACGCATTTTTGAGGACGAGGAGACAATTTGCACGACTCACAGTGTCATAACGACAACTCTCGATTTCTCTGATGAATAGTGCAATGAAAATCATTTATATATAGAGCAAATTTTCATATACACTCGTCGTCATATTTACAAATGAATACTTTAAATAGTACAAGCTGCTCACACGGTTTCAGTTCAACGAAACTTTCGCTCGCGCAGATTCTTTTGTGAAGAATACGTTTATAAACATATAGCTGGACTTTCAATTACTTTTGGATAACACGTGATTTCAAAAGATTGTATGCCCTTAGGACAAACAAATCGTGACACATCGAAAAATCTAGTCTTGCTCTACTGTTTTGAGATATGCCATATACATTTCTATCTTTTTTGCTGAATAAATTTCCACTTTTCTCTCAATTTCCACTTTTCTCTCATTTTCTGTGCAATCAAAATTTTTCACAATGAGACGTTTTAAAAATTTGGTGAAAACCGAGCTTTACGAATACCAATGTGTTTGCGCTGTTTCCAGCTCAGTTCAACGGTTTCAAAAGTCATTCAGATAACATCAGAACGGAATTCATAATGAAATAAACAAATTCTTTTAATCTAATATTCTAATATCCGTAACAATCAAAAAAACATTTTCTCTATCCAATTTGATGTCTTCTATCCAACTACGCTAGATTCAACTTTTTATATCAAAAACTGCAGCTTGTATTGCATTTTCAAAAACGGGGTGAAAAAACCTGAAAAAAGTGCTATTTTTCAGGGAAGTGGTGCAACAATTGTATATATAGTCGTATGTCTTTTAATATATTCTGCAGCTGATGATAATTAAAGTATCTACTCGAAAGCTTGTACATTTGGTATTGCTATGACGTAAAAATGTTCATTGTTGATCTCGTATAAAGTGTTCCGGCATTCCTGTTGATGACACGCTTCTTGAATTATTCACGGTAAACATAATAATCTGACCCGTTTTAGTAATCCAATCGAATCGGCAGGATACTTTGATTTTGAGAAAACTAACTTCTGTATTCATTTGGGTTTAAAATAGTATGAACGAAAATTAACATAAATCTATTAAGAACACTACCATGTTTGCAGTGCTTTCTGTATGTACGATAGAGCCTGGCAGGAATCCTTCTATCTTACGATAAGATAGGACACGGATATAATATTTAAAATAAATACACAAAAGAATTCTTCATAAAATTTTGCTCACTATTCCGTTCATTCCAATCAAATCTCTATGCTACGTATGCCGTTTTGTACAATAAGTGAATAATCATAGAAAGGTTAAACAAAAGGCACGAGAAACAATTAGATGAACTTCCCGTCTTCTCGATCAGTACATTTGTGACAACAACCAAATACCATAATATGGTTAGAGTTATTAAGATGTAATTCTAGACTATCAGCTAGGCTCTGCAAAACGGTATAAGTTGGATTTCTTTCTTGACGAAACAGAGGGAAATGGAAACACCCATACGTTGGAAGCCATTTCATATTTAATGTGTCTATGTTTACCCATTCCTTGTCACAGTCTTGCGATAGAAATAAAAGGAAGAAATTTGAATAAGATTGTTATATTTTCTTTCTCGCTATTATACAAAATGTAAACGAATCTCATGTTGTAATATGTAAATACGATATTCAGATTTATTTGAGCAGTTAGTGCCAGATGTGCTTTTTCAAATATTTGAATTTTTTGCCCACAACATTTATAAACTCTACAAATCATTCTTCGGGCTCAATCGACGTTTAAATTTTATTCTCACTAGTAGCCGTCTGTTTGTATTTAGTCAAAGTGGGCTGACATTATCAAACTGTACCACAAAAAATGGTCCCATTGATCGTCCAAACATGAAGAAGATCAGAGTCAGATCCAGATATACGCTGTATATTGGTTCTATCTCCTTCTTTTTTCCACATTACCCATTTTATATAGTCATGTACGTTGAGAGAAAATTGTTTAGTTAGAAATGATGACGGCATTTTTGACGGAGAAATTTGACATGTAGATGCCATACATTAAGCATTAGTGAATGAACAAACAACAGCTGAAACTGACTCAGACGTTTTAAGTAGACTGGAGGCCAGTGTAGCCAGAGCCTTTGAAGGAAAATAAAAGGACACAAAGTAAGACAAGAAGTCAAAGACAACTTTCCGCATTTGGTGTATGCTGATTAGTAAAATACCTGGAGAAAAAGACGAATATTTTCATGGTAGACACCGACACACACATTGAGTAAACGAGACAATTTAACCGACTTTGATCGGAGATAAAAGAATTTTGTATGGTCGATTTTCAAACTTTTGTCATTTTCGTACTTCTTAAAGACTTCGAAAGTTTCAGTTACCGACATTAGCATGAATCGCCAGTCTTTTTATTTTTTCACCATTCCACTAGTTGACATTAATTGTGTCTTTCTCATTAGGCGACTCTCCATTTACGCTGTCGTCTTCATAGAATGTTAAAATGGTTTTAAAGTTTTGGAAGACAAGACCAACTCTCTACTGTTGCATGTCAAATCTTTATCTGAATCATTTTCGACGGATCCTCCATGTATCACAACTTCTGTCAACTCTCCTATCAGTCTAGATGACATAAACGTTCTAATAGCTGGTTTGAAAAAATTATTTCTACAGTGATTATACTGAACAAACTCGTATTCTACCCATCTATCCTTGTGAGTGAAGTCGTTGTAAAATGGAGAAGTTTTTCGATGCAACAGAATGACAAGCTCGTCATGCTATCCAAATACGCTATACGTACGGTCTTCTTGCAATTCCCTCAGTAAATACGCATTTTCGCCTCAAAGTTTCTGCGTTTATATTTACAGTATTTTTCTTTATATTGTAGACAGAACTGGGCAACAGTTTCTGTTGCAACTATAGAGATGGTGTTAACATTCTGTGAAGACGACAGCGTAATAAGAAAGACACAATTCATGTCAACTAGTGGAATGGTGAAAAAATAAAAAGACCGTGGCGATTCATGCTAATGTCGGTAACTGAAGCTTTCGAAGTCTTTAAGAAGTACGAAAATGACAAAAGTTTGAAAATCGACCATACAAAATTCTTTTATCTCCGACCAAAGTGGATCAAGTTGTCTCGTTTATTCATAGAGATTTTTTACTCGAATTTCCATTAGCTGAAATTTTAAGTACAGAATCAAAATAATCGGATAAAATAGAATATTTCCTGACATTCTGACGTAGATTGGATGAATTGTGACTGACTTATGAATTTTCTAATTTTTGATGATAAAAGCCAGAAATGGGTTATTTCACTTAGTAAAGATTTTCACTCGGTCTCTGCAGTTTCTTCTGAAAACTGACATTGCTACGAGATTCAGCATAGTCGATAACCTATGTTTACGTTCATGTCCAGCAGTCCCAAACCTAACAATCAATGGAGTTCTGTCAAATGTACAAGTCAAATTTCTTCATATGCAGTTTCATTTTTATCGACTTTTTACTTCATACGGTACAGCAGCGTAATTCACCCAGATATTGTAGTGCTTTGTACCTACCAACATCTCATTACTTTTTCGATTACGAAACTTCTGAATATGCGCAAAAAGTGAAAGCTCATCGATCAAAAGTGTTGGCTCAGCATCTGTGGCTGTGACTACCTTAATATTAGACTACCTAAATATTACTGTGAGAAGAAAATCGCTTTATCGATCGTCGCCACATTATAAGTTGCATCTATCACGCGCAGAAAACGTATATATTATAAAGAGGCAAGAAAAAAAATGAAGATAATGTTAGGGTATAATAGTATGTAAAAGAAGATAAGACAGTAAACACAGGAGAGAGGCAAGGCATGGTTCTTATTTCTTCACACCTTTTATCAACAAATACACATCTCGCGTGTGGACTAGTCGCATATTTTCACTTCTGATGGAGCATATACTGCACATGAAGTTGGACAAGTTAATTGAAGAAGCTTCGATCAAATTGCACGAGCCTGTGCACGATACTGAATCGCTCAATCGATGGAAGATACAGATGTTCACTTTCATCAATACAATCGCCGAGCTCCAGCTACCTTCTTCGCCACAAGTTAGTCAAGAAAAACCGTCGCTTGATCCTGTCGACTGGTTATCAGCTCGATGTGTGGCACATCAAATGCTTGATGCATCGCTGGATCATATTCAATCTATACGAGATCGACCTGTCTGGCGACCGATCCCAGATGATGTTCGCGCAGCACTCGAGAACGAACCACTTCCCGAACAAGGTCGATCCCTCTCGGATGTCTGCCGCGATGTGTCCACTTACGTGATACCTTATGCCTCTACGAATATACATCCTCGTTTTTTCGGCTGGGTGATGGGTGCAGGCACTGTGGGCGGTGTACTAGCCGATATGATAGCAGCAACACTAAATACAAATAACGGTGGGGGCACTCATACTGCTTCGCTTGTCGAGCGAACTGTCGTTCAGTGGATGCGTCAATTGTTTGGTTTCCCGGAAGCAAGAACCGGTGGAATACTCGTCAGTGGAACATCCATGGCGACTGTGATCAGCATGGCAACAGCTCGACGACGGGCGCTAGAGAATATCAGACAAGATGGACTTGTCGGTGGACCGCAACTGGTTGCTTATGCATCGACGGAAGTGCATGGATGTGTTGCCAAGGCATTTGCGCTGTTGGGACTCGGGTCAAAAGCATTGCAGCTTGTACCGGTTGATGATAACTTTCGGATTAAAGTCGACGAACTAAGAATGAGAATTAGAAGTGATCGCGATAAGGGCCGTGTCCCCTTTTGCATAATTGGAAATGCAGGTAAGTGTAGTGTAGAAGTCTAACTGTATATTTGTCTTTAGATCCGCTCTGTCAAAATGTTATTTTGCTAAGACAGCAAATAAAACGTTTTGAAGAAATCTTGTAGTAAACCGTCCGATATCACCACTGCTTCCAGGCAGTCACCTATACCTTTTGAAAATTCGTTTTAGCGCGATATTAGCTTAAAACATCGCGCGAAACTCTGTTTACGAAAAATTTACCCCGAGAAATTCGTTTAAATAGAAGTGCTAGAATCGCGTTTGAAGTAATCATAGGTTGCGTTAAATGCGCTGAATTTTTCGTAAACAGAGCTTCGCGCGATGCTCTGAAGCTAAACTCGCGTTTTGTTACGGTTCTTCAGCCAATCTCGCCTTGCATTGATGGCATAGTCGCACTAAGCGAAAGTGATATAGAAAAAACCCAAAGCCCCCCCGTATATCTGATATAGTTAAAGGTTAAGTTTCTCAAAGCAACCTTTTGCGAGGAATCCAATGGCAGTCCCAGAAATTCTTGAAAATGTTCTTAAACCGAAATAAGTACCTATTTATATATGACTTGCAAGAGTAGCAAGACGCATCTCAAAAAAACGACAGAAATGAATGTAACTTCATTCAAATGCGAGAATCAGCGTGTGGTACTTTCTTCGAAAACAAAAAGCGCAATTCCTACAAGAACATAACGAATTATTACGTTTTAGTACTCGGTGAGGGTGAAAACGAAATCTTCTTTTTATAAAAGCGAGAAATTAAACTTATTCAAACTCGAAACGCAACTTTCTGCAAGTGTAGAACACAAAACGCGACACACAGGCAATTTTTGCGTTCAAAACGTGTTAAATTCGTTTCATTTGATTCTTAAACACCAAAAATTCGATGCCGTTCGCGAGTCTTCAACTTTATTGCGATTGAAAACGCGTTTTTAAAAAGTTATGATGGTCATAAACGCGTTTCTCGCGAAATGTTGATGGCAAAAACGCGGTTTTGAGTAAGGCGTATATTTAAAGCTCAAGAAATTCGCCGTATTCATGGTAAAACTGTATATTGTCGCGCTTTATGAATGCTAAAACCGCGTTAAAACGAATTTTCAAAAGATATAGGTGACTGACTGGGTTGACAGCGAGTTCTATGCTGCCACAAGTGTTACTAAATGGGCCGTCAATATCGAAATTATAGAATTTGCATGATATATTAAAATCGCGAAAGTCATATAACGTCGGTATGGAGCAGATGCTTTGTGATAATTCTCGAAAGGTCGAATTTCTAGAATCTTTATTACTACGAACTGATCAGGCATATCGTACATCCTAGTTTAGAAGCAGAACTTGACACAAATGCTCTCGACAATGTGTTGCGCATTTCGTGGACAGTCTTCAAAGTATCTCATATCTCTGTGCAGTTTCTTGTACTCAGTTTCAGTTTAATGAAGTTCCGCCGTGACTTTCGAGTAATATCCTTCGCTCATTTTATAGGTACGGTGAATACAGGCGCGTTCGACAACCTTCTCGAACTTGCATCGATCGCTCGTGCAGAAAACATCTGGTTTCATGTGGATGGAGCTTTTGGTAGTATGGTCATTCTCGATCCTCAACGTCAACATCTTGTTGCGGGTATTGACCAAGCTGATTCGCTTGCATTTGACTTTCACAAATGGCTGCACTGTCCGTACGATGCTGGCTGTGTGCTCATTCGCAACATCGCGGAGCTAGAGTTTACTTTTTCAGAACATCAGTCATATTTGGCCAGAACTAAGCAAGGCTGTATGGGTGACGAGCCTTGGTTCTGTGATTTGGGCCCTGATTTATCCCGTTCCTTTAAAGCACTGAAGGTCTGGTTTACACTTAAAGAACATGGCACTGTGAAGCTAGGTCAAAAGATTGCCGACAATTGTGAACAAGCTCAATACTTAGTGTCATTGCTAGAGAAACATGAGCATAACATTCGTATAGTGCGTCCTATTTCCCTGAACATTGTCAACTTTCGATTTGAACCCGAAGAACTCGACAAAACCGATCACGAGCTGATTGATACGTTTAATGAAGACATTATTACTAATATTCAAACATCTGGCATTGCACTTCCAACATCAACACATATCCACAATCGACTCTGCGTTCGCGTTGCAATCGTCGGTCATCGAACTACTTGTAAAGATTTAGAAATACTTGTTAAGACTCTTTTGGAGTTCTATCAAACTCGACTTCTAGTTCATATTCGAGAGAGGGAATGAGAAAAACTCAATCTGTTTTTATCCTTACAATCTGAGCTTTTTCTGGATAATTGACGCATACTTTCCCTTTCCTCATTTTTCGTCAAAGTGAGATAGTACTTCAAGAACATACATAGTTGCAAACGCATACATCTGTCTTTTTCAAAGTTCTCTCAAATCTCGAATTATTCCACGTTCAACTCTGAAGGTATTGTGGGTTTATTTCGAAATATCGTGAATGGAACTGATAATTATGCTCCAGATATCCAAAATACTTTCAGATTACTTCGAGAAGTTATCACACGCACGTTCGCCGCTCTTTTCATATGATTCGAAAACATACTGTAATGATCTGTTGACGAAAAAAAGTATTTTAAATCATCAAAAGTAACCACGTCATCATTAGTAACTGTACCCGTGTTACATTGTACGAATAATTTGGAAAAGATAACAGCATCATTCTTTGAATTTCGAAGGACCCCCAATTCGAAACACATGTGTCTCTTACAAAGTTTTAGTATTTGGATTATAACTCAAAAACGACGCTTGCAATTTTTTTGAGTAATAGCTCCTTCGAAAGGGAATTAAAATGGAACAAAATGATACATTAGAGCAGATCTATCGATGCAGCGTCAAGGTAATATGTCAGTGTCCTCTCAGTTCGTCCCATATTTTTTTTTCTCAATTCGTCCCAGATATCTACTCTCTCGCCTCAAAATAAATAAACTGTTGTACCATCGAACAGTTTAGACGACGACGATGGGTATTGTAGAAAATCCTAGATGCGCGTACGTGGCAATGTGCCTTGTTAACCACTACTATCATAAATTTAAACTAAATAAGTTAAACTGTCATGTTCATCAAAATGTTAATTTTCACGTTTACTAAAAAACTTGAGACATTGAGACTAGTTTCGTCTTTATTCATTGATTGAGTGATTAAACGCTTTTTGCTCAGAATCTAGTAGGTTATAGGTTACTGACCATGCTAATTACGAATATGATCATGAGGGTTACCCTGCCCTTCGAAGACGTCTTCGAAGGACTAAGGGCAACCCTCATGGTTTAATTACTTCGAAAGATTCCCTCGTTAGTCCATTATCTCACCATACAATCCTTGAGAATCCAATAGCTTGAAAAGCATCCTTATATTCTTGTTTTCGCTTTTCAGCTCTCGCTGTATGTCCAATATAACTGTTTATACATGCACTACGGTCATATTTATCACCGTACGCAAGAGATACGGGCAATTATATTAAACTCATTAAGCGTACACTAATATGGGATGAACTAAGGAAAAAAGCTCTGTATAAAATGAGCATAACAGGTTCAGAAAAAAGTTGCAACAGTAATCAAAAATGCAAAATACTTTACCTCATTGTCCTTAGAAGACTTGATTTAAAAAGCATGATTTTTGTACATAAATGCTCAGAAAGACTTTTTTCACATGATTGCACAAAATAACTCTCTCCGTGTTGTAGAGCTCAGCGAGCTGAATCGAATGGTGGAAACCGCAAGTCTGAAGCCTTGTTGGAAAAAGAGTTATAGCAATTTTACCCTCGCAGCGGAAAAATGCATTTTTGACATTTTCTGGCGGATCTGGCCTAACTTGTAGAATGTCTGCTGACCACATTTCCTAACGTAGAACCTTGAGCTTGGTATCAAATCAAAGGCGGCGTCGAGTACTATATATTTCGACGAAGAAAAGTTCTGCTGCGCCTCGGATCTTGAAAGAGATTTCTGAAAACTCAGTTTTCTAGAAAACTAAGTGACCTTAAAATTTCTTTCACAAGTTGTTCAATCACATCATTGGATATCCCCTTCAATTCTCTACAAAATAAGATACTGTCCAACTTTCTAGAATGTTCTGTCAAAAAGTGCCATACAAAACGCGATAAAACAGTCTGATTTTGAATGCTGCGTTATCTCTCATTTCGGTAGAATGAGTTTCCTGCACCATTCACAGACCGAAATATGATATTCTAGGATAGTGCACATTATTCATTCACTGAAAGAGGCTTAAAACATACTGAAACAAACTTTCGTTTGATATACTACCAAAACATAATTCTTTCAAGCTCATATCTTGCTGAAATATTTGAAGTTAACAAGCAATAGAATGATTGTTCTTGCATAACTGCATAAATACTAATCACGAGGTAAAGTAAAGAAAAAGAAAAAACATTTGTCTTCCTTGCCAGTAAAGTAAAAAAGACTCGAACTGTTTATGCTTTTCTGAGACTTTTTTTGTTGCCTTCAACGAAATAATCCACGAAAAACACAGGAATCACATGAAACAGTATGAATGATATTTTTTCTCTCTTTTCTTTCTTCATTTTGTCATTCGTATTTGCTTGAGACTGAAGTTTATTGCTCTGACACAATACGTGTGTTAAAAAGAGAAATGACATTCAGTGATTCTCACACTAACAAAACATTTATACAGTTTCCATTTCCTGTCAAACGAAACTCTGTTACAGATGATTATGACATAAAAGATGAAGTATTGGGTATTGGTTCACGTGGTGAAGTACGGGTGTGTATCAATCTTCGTACAAAAGAACGATGTGCATTAAAAATTCTAAAAGATTCAAATGAAGTTCGACGAGAAGTTATTCTGCAGAGACAAGCTAGCACATCTCTATCTTCGAATATTGTAAATGTACGTGATGTTTATTTGAATGAATATTCAAAGCGACGATGTGTATTACTTATTCTAGAATGTATGGATGGTGGCTTATTATTTGATCGGATACAACGTATTGGTAATGAAAATTCGTTTACAGAATGTCAAGCAGCCGGTTTAATACACTCCATCTTTAAAGCTGTACACCATCTGCATTCGATGAATATTGCACATAGAAATATAAAACCGGAGAATTTACTGTTTACATCAGCAGGAAACGATGCACTATTAAAATTAACGGATTTTCGATTTGCGAAAGAATGTAGTGATAAGATAGATAAGCCGTTGATTACACCATGTTACACACCCTCTTATGTTGCACCAGAGATACTGTCCGAGAAGAGATACAACAAGGTGCGTATTTCTTATGACAAACGTAATGTTGTGGCTTAAAAATCAGCAATACATATTTCTAAATGTTGATTCAGACCAGAGCTGGTCAACTGCATAATTTTGCCTCGGCAAAATAAAATTGTGGAATGGCTATTGCCACCTCCAGAGGTGCCACCAAGGAGCTATTGCTACCTTCAGAAGGTGTCGACTAAACCTATTGCCACGTCTGCGCATAGTACTATGTTAGATAGTGTCAGTTAGTGTGACACGACTCTTTCGCGAGTTTTTATAATATAAATTCGGAATGGTTATTGACCCCGCCGGAGTGGCAGCAAGGAGTTATTGACAGTCTAAAATGCACTTATGCACTGCATAACATTGAACACTGAATAACACATTTGTGCGGTGTATAAGTGCATTTTGAACTGGCAATAGGTTCTTGCTACCAGTTCGATGGGATGTCAGTAGCTTCTTGCTTCCAGAGTGTCATAGACCTACCCAGATAAATTTGTGTATTTCCGGTAATTTCTGGTAGGTATTGTGGGAGGAAGGGAGAGAGCAGTGTGAGGGTGTGTTCAAAAAGTTGTTTCACTCAAACGGTTTTGCACTACATAGTGTGAATTTATGTTGGTTTTCCAGGTACTTATGTATTATGTAATTAGTTCTAGATGAAGCTCTGGTTAACACCGGTAGAATATGGCAATAGCTCCTTGTTGATACCTCCGAAGGTGGCAATAGCCGTCGGTGCCACCTTCTGAAGGTGACAATAACTCCTTCTTGACACCTCAGGCGGTGACAATAGCGCTACCCATAAAATTTACCCGCGTTGCATTTTTGCGGGTTAGAAAAAAACCTCTGCTTCCGCACAGGCAGTGGGTGCGGGTAAAAACTTCTGCACTGCACTGCCCTGCCCTGGAGGCGGATCCCTAGGCGAGGTATAACAAGTTTTTTCCTACTGACCAGTAGCAGCGTGTGATAGGCTGATAGTTATAGACTCTATCACTAGTTACAACTCAATATATTTGTTCTATCTTTTTCTCTTTCTGTTAGCATCAGAGTCTTTTGTCATCTTCTTTGCCTATACGTAGTACACATAGTAAAAGAAATATATTAAGTAAGGTGCCGCTAATTCGAAAGTCAAGTGGAAAAGCTTTTGAATTTTCAAACACATATTCTGATTCGTGATGGTGTGAGGTACAGAATAAGGATTCTGCAGAGATGAGTTGATATGAATTGAGAGTTTTCATGCAATAGGCAGTGATCTAAATCAGAGCTGATCACCTGCATTTGAAACTGTCTGAAAGCTGCAGGCAGGTTACAGTTTGCAGGTGAATGAAAACTGTTTCTACTGACGGCCGACAGCTAAAGAAGAATGTTTTCCTGTCTGCACTCTCTGCAGGAGAGAAGATTTTTACCTGCGTTTCCTCAAGGAAAAGACCCTTTTGTGTGGAGAACACAACGAGAGAGGAGAACAAGAGAAATAATGTTCACACGGAAGGTCACAATGATTTCTTCGTTTTAAGATGGCAATGGTGGCACAATTGAAAAATTGTTCTTCCTGTGGTCGCCGTGGTAGGAGACTGATCGATGTCTGTTCACCCTAGACAAAACGTTTTTGGAAATTCATATGGAAATGTTATCCGAATCTTATAATGATCTTATACAGGAAAACGTTCGAAAGTGCCACGAATTTCGTAAGAGTCTTGTCTAGTAGATATACAAAAAAACTGTCCGTTAGTTTCTTTTCCTTAAGAGATCATTGTGATCTTCCGTGTGAACATTATTTCTCTTGGTCTCTTCTCTCGATGTGTTCGCCACACAAAAGGGTCTTTTCCTTGAGGAAACGCAGGTAAAAATCTTCTCTCCTGCAGAGAGTGCAGACAGGAAAACATTCTTCTTTAGCTGTCGGCCGTCAGTAGAAACAGTTTTCATTCACCTGCAAACTGTAACCTGCCTGCAGCTTTTAGGCAGTTTCAAATGCAGGTGATCAACTCTGATTTAGATCGTTGCCTACTGCATGAAAACTCTCAATTCATATCAACTCATCTCTGCAGAATCCTTATTCTGTACCTCACACCATCTTCTAAACCCTCTTAAGGTTAAGTTTTGTGCTGTCCTTCAAGTTATATCAGTATGTAAGCAACTTTTGTTCGATGAGGTGCACCACCTGAAATCTGACTTTCAAGT